ATTGAATAGAATATATACATATATATAGTCTTACGAACAAGCACTTCGTTTTTCATTTGAACATTTTCAAACATGGTTTAATTATGGATTATCATTAATATCATCAGGTCAATCATTTCGTGCTTATCTTATATTAAAAGAATGTTTAAGAATGCAACCAAAAAATCTTCAAGTTTATTTACAACTTGCTAAAATAATTTTTGAATATATATATGATGTAGATTTAATCGAATTGTTCTTTTGTTTTTAATTCTTAAATTGTTATATTATTATTTAAAATAGTTTCCATCATTATTTGAAACATTTCCATCAACTGTTCAAGATGGACAAACATTATATCAACAACAATATTATTTAAATCAACATGAACAATGACCGAGATTTATTGATCTTGTAATTTTCATTTTTTTTATTTATAAAATAATTTATTAAGATTTTAGATTTAAAAAAATCTAATCAATTAATGGCTACAACAAAGGAAGATTCAGCAGCTTCTGAATCAGTTATTTCCGGTGACAATGGAACAGTTTTTGGTGGTGATAACCGACCAGTTGCTAATGGTGATGATCGACCTGTTGTTGGTGGTGATGATCGACCAATTGTTCATGTGATAATCGACCAGTTGTTTGTGGTGATGAACGACCAGTTGTTTGTCGTGATGAACGACCAGTTGTTGGTGGTGATGATCGACCAATTGTTCATGTGATAATCGACCAGTTGTTTGTGGTGATGAACGACCAGTTGTTTGTCGTGATGATCGACCTATTGTTCATGGTGATAGTCGACCAATTGTTCGTGGTGATAATCGACCAGTTGTTGGTGGTGATGATCGACCAATTATTCTGGGTAATAAATTTTCCAAACTCAAGAATTAAAAAGAAATATCTTTCTATTTTCAGAGGAAGGAATTAAAGGTTCTGGTCACGGTCAATAGAACAAAGCGCTAATGCCTTTATCAAAAGGTATAATAATATCAACTAAGTTTATATTTAATTTATTTTTATATATTATCTAGACAGGACAAGCCCGAATATCGGGATTTATTCGTTCGAGAAACTTATATTGTTGGTAATATTCGTGATAAGAGATTCTTCTTATCAGACTTATGTAAGTTTGATATTATTTAAAGTAAGTTGTTTTACGTTAACTATAGCAAAAATAACTATGCTTCACTGTTTTCCAGCTAAACGTGGTGTGAAGCAGTGAATGTTCATATAATTGATCGAACTGTGTGCCGTATATCAACACTACCGAAAATCCAGAAAACAAGCAAAAGAACTTGAAAATCCTCCATTTGCTCGTTCACTTCTTCTTCTTGTCATTGCCAAATCATTTAAAACTCGACAAACATCAATTCATCATGATCGTCAAGCACTTTTTCAATCAGCTATTAATGATCTTCGAGAGTATTTTTATTTTTTTCGTTTTTCTTTATATAAAATAAATGTTTATATTTAAAAGATCTATTGAAGTTGATCCATATGATTCAATATCACATTTTCATCTTGCTCATAATTTATCTTTTATAAATCAAGTTTGTTTTTATTAAATAATTATTAAATAAAATTAATTTTTATTTCAAAATAGACTCAAGAAGCATTAAAATCAATTGAAAGATGTTTATTATTATCACCAGCTGATAAATATTCTCTTCATTTATATGCACTTTTACTTACTGCTCAAAAACAAATGTCTGAAGCTTATGCACAAATATATAGAGCAACTAATGATTATCCTGATATTAGGTAAAACATCTTTTCTTTCTTCATTTTAAATTGATTCATTTTAAGAAATTATTTAAAATTCAAAATAGTCGAAAGTTATATTTAAAAGAGAAATAAATTCATTGAAAATCGATAGTAATTGTTGAAATATTCAAGTTAAATAATATCTATCGAATTAATAATAAAGATAAAATTGATGAAAACTTTAAAATGTTTTAAATAGAATATGAAACTATAATAAGTTCGATTATTTTTATTTCTCTGTTAAGTATTTTTTTTCAATAATAAAACTTTTTAGATAAATTGATAATGAGTAGGCTTTTATAAAAAAAATAAGAAAAAAAAACAAGTAAAGATTTCCAGTAAAATATATTTGACTGTTAATAAATAAATAAAAAGTGAAAAGGGAGATTCACTTTGTTTTTTATTCTTATGTTCCTCTAAATATATTTTCCATCTTTTTTTACGATAAATTTGAACCACTTTGTTTTCTGCGTAAAAAAAGTTGTCATCTTTTAATTCATTAATTCATTGATAAACATCGAGAAGAGACATACAAATATCGCAATTTCTAATTAAAAATTGTTTTATTCAATCAGAAAAATAATTTCTTTTAATGAATTTTTTGCTCAAAAACAGAATCAACCGCACACTCAAGATTTGACATTGGTCATTAGCCGATTTAGTTAGTTCGTTTTTTCGATTCTCATCATGTTTAAATACAAAATCTACTTATGAGAAAAAATTTGATTAAATAAAATTATTCAAATTTATTATAACAACAAAAAAAAGCAGCATGGAATTCAATATTTCTTTGTATCTAATTTATTAAGATTTTAGATTTAAAAAAATTTAATCAATGGCTACAACAAAGGAAGATTCAGCAGCTTCTGAATCAGTTATTTCCAGTGACAATGGAACAGTTGTTGGTGGTGATAATCGACCAGTTACTAACGGTGATGATCGACCTGTTGTTGGTGGTGATGATCGACCAATTGTTCGTGGTGATAATCGACCAGTTGTTGGTGGTGATAAACGACCAGTTGTTAATGGCGATGATCGACCAATTGTTCGTGGTGATAGTCGACCAATTGTTCGTGGTGATAATCGGTCAATTGTTCGTGGTGATAATCGACCAGTTGTTGGTGGTGATGATCGACCAATTATTCTGGGTAATAAATTTTCGAAATTCAAGAATAAAAAAAAATATCTTTCTATTTTCAGAGGGAGGAATTAAAGGTTCTGTGGTCACGGTCAATAGAACAAAGCACTATGCCTTTATCAAAAGGTATATTAATATCAACTGTTTATATTTAATTTAATTTTATATATTACCTAGACGAGATAAACCAGGAGATCGTGATTTATTCGTTAGAGAAGCGTCTATTATTGGTAGTATTCGTGATAAGAGATTCTTTATATCAGACTTATGTAAGTTTGATATTGTTCAAAGTAAGTTGTTTTACGTTAACTATAGCAAAAATAATTATGCTTCAGTGTTTTCCAGCTAAACGTGGTGTTGAAGCAGTGAATGTTCAAATAATTGATCGAACTGTGCCTAGTATTTCAACACTACCGAAAATCTCGAAAAAAAAACAAGTAACTGAAGAAAATCAAGTTTCGGCTAATTTATTCAGATCCACAATGTAAGAATTAATCTTGTTTTATCTGATTTAAATTATAAATTAAACAATATCTTATTTTAGCAAGGACTTGTTTCGGGAAGCACTTAAAAAAATAAAAGAAAATGATGATTAATATCAACAACATTATTATGATTTTATTATAGACATTTATTATAGACATTTATCATTGACATTTATAGGCATTTATCATAGACATTTATCATTCAAGAAAAGAAACTTGTAAAAAAAACGTGATGTAGTAAAGAAATTTGTTAAATACAATTGATCTTTTACTATAAATAAATTAAAGGTTTTTGTTTCGTATAATTGATTACATGAATTCGAATTACGTCGCTGTACGTTTTCCATAAAAACTCATCTCGCATTCTATTTAGTCTATCTTCAATTTCTTTCATTCATTCTTTCTTTTTCGACTTTAACTATTATTAAAATTGTTTTGAAACGATTAAAATCAATGTAAACGATTAAATAAAAAATACAAATTGAATTGTTTTCAATTTCAACGATTAAATAAACAAGCTGCAACAATTCGACGTGAACTTGATGGTCGAATGAAACAAGCTGAATCTTTACAACGAGTAACATTGAAAAAAATTTTATTTATAAAAAAACAAAAAAAATCTCGTTTTGTTTTTTAGCAACGTGGTTTAATGCCAAAATTTATACATAAAGAAATGGATTCATTATATGTTGATGAATTCAAAAAAAGTATAAATGATTTAATGAGTAATCTTGAAAGTTTACCTGTACGTGGAGGATCTGAACAAAAATTTTTAAGATGAAAACGTAGTAATAGTGATAATCGTCATGGAAGTTCATCTTTACTTTATTCATCAAATAAATCATTATATAATGAATCAAATTTTGAAGAGAATGATGCTGGTTTATCAAAATTAGCATTCGTTTTAAATTCTAATGTTAATATAACATGTAAAGAAGTACGTGGTTTAAAATAAATTCCAACAAATCGTATTGTTTATTGTACAATGGAAGTTGAAGGAGGAGAAAAATATCGAACTGAACATGCTGAAACTGGAAAATCTGTTTGGGAATCTTTAGCTGAATTTCCAACAAATCAATTTTCACCCATTATTAAAGTTAAACTTTTTATGGAAAATCCTGGTTTACTTAGTTTAGATGATAATAAACTTGGAAAATTATCTTTACAAATTGATCCCACTTGTAATAACACAAATTGGTGAATTGATATGATTAAATGTAAATATACATCAAATGAACAATTAAAAGTTAAATTAGATGTTAGAATGGAAAAACCACAAAATCTTAAAATGTGTGGGTATGGTTACATTTCATAAAATATTTTAAACAATTTTTACCAATTTTTTTTCTTTTATTATTCAAAGATGGTGCTATGCTAGAGGAAAAAATGTATGGAAAACATGGAAACGACGATATTATGCACTTGTTCAGGTAAATAATTCTTAGATTTTATATTTATTCGAATAAACAAAATAAAAAAAACGATAATTAACAAGTGTCAATTGTCATCTATATTTATATATTGAATAAATATTCAATATGAGATATTGATTAAGTAGACAATAGAAAGAAAAACGTGTGATTATAGGAATTTGGTTTTGGTATAGAAGAAAAGGATTAGTTTGACATTGAAGAATATTTGTTTGAAATCTCAAGTGTTTACTATTGAAATTATATATAGAATAATGAATTTATCATCGAGGGTATTCAATGTAAATATTAACTTTGTTGAATGTATTCTAGAGAGATAATATTAATGAATTTATTAATAAGATAACAGTTCGAGTTAGATTTTTTCATTTATATATATATCAAAGAAAATAATTTGTGATTGATTTAACAAATAGAAATTAATATATGTTTATTAAATAAATGACAAAAACAAATGATTTTCAGGTATCTCAATATTGTTTTGCAACATGTAGTTATCGTGAAAGAAAATCCGAACCAACTGAAATGATGCCACTTGAAGGTTATATTGTTGATTATGCTGAACCTGATAATGGTAAAGAAATAAAATAAATAAAAATAAATAAATATTCGACTATTAAAAGGTTTAATAATGCATGATGGAAAATATTTTTTTTAAAGCTGTACGTGAAGGTGATGTTGTTACATTTGCAACAAATGAAGAAAATGAACGACATAGTTGGGTACAAGCATTATATCGTGCTATTGGTCAATCACATAAACCAACACCACCAATAACACAAATTAATAAATCAAATTCAACATCAAGACAAAAAGATCTTTCAGGTTAATAATAATATCAATTTTGAAATCTAATATTTATCTTTTATTTATTTAGATTCTGATCGTTCAAAAAATCTTGGTTTTGATGAATATATACAAAGTGATCCATGTAAATTTGATCATCATGATTTATTTAAAACATTGAAAACGGCAACATTAGATTTTCGACAAAATGATCCATACTGTTCTTTGGTAAATATTAACAACAAAAAAAAACACACCATTTTTTTTCATTATCTTTAACTGTTTTATTAT